CCGCGGCCGGGTGAGGCGGCGGCGGCGGAGCGCGGCGGTGCCGCGGGCCCGCGCCCTCCCGCACGATGTCAGCGCAGGGCAAGTTCAAGAAGGACAAAGAGATCATCGCCGACTACGAGGCGCAGGTCAAAGGTGCGGAGCGCGGGCCGGTGCGGGCGCGGCGGGGCCGCCTTTGTGTGCGGGGCGGGGCGGGGACGGGCCGGCTCCGGCCGCGGGCTGCGCCGAGCGGCGCTGGCCGGGCCGCCCTCAGCGGGCAGCGGCGGCTGAGGGGCCCCGCGCGGTGCGCGGCCTCCCGGTGCGGAGGGCATCGATCCTGCGGTCCTTATGTAAGGAAGTTCGCCTTCTGCTCCGGCCCCTCGCCTCCAGGCCCGCAGTCATTATTATGCAAGTGCCGGTAGTGGTGCGGGGTGCGGAGCTGTGCGGCAGGCGCTGCCTTCCTGGGTGTTGGAGAGGAATAAAACTGGGGGTTTTGTCTATTGCGACCACTGAGCAGCAAATCCCAGACTCCAAGTTAATTGTTGTTTCGAAGGAAAGTTGTACCCTGTGACACATGGCAGCTCTGCAGCCCAGGGAAGGGCTGAGCGGGTTGGAGTCAGAGGGAGATAAGCGAGTGAAACCTTCTGTCTATTGCACACCCAGGGAATGAACGAGTGTACCCTTCTGTCCATTGCATACACAAGGGATGAGCAGTGCACCCTTCTGTCCATTGCACACTCAGGGAGTGAGCAGTGCACCCTTCTGTCCATTGCACACTCAGGGAGTGAGCAGTGCACCCTTCTGTCCATTGCACACCCGGGGAGTGAGCAGTGCACCCTTCTGTCCATTGCACACCCAGGGAGTGAGCAGTGCACCCTTCTGTCCATTGCATACACAAGGGATGAGCAGTGCACCCTTCTGTCCATTGCACACCCGGGGAGTGAGCAGTGCACCCTTCTGTCCATTGCACACCCAGGGAAATGAGCCAGTTACCCTTCTGTCCATTGCACACCCGGGGAAATGAGCCAGTTACCCTTCTGTCTATTGCACACACAGGCATTTTCCTGTTGGTACCAAACTGTAGTAATGGGCATTTCTGGATAACTTAATAAATCAGCTCCTTACTGCGATAATTGCTAATTCTGTTAGCTGATGACAGTTCCTTTTCCCACCTTCAGACGGAGGATACTCTCAGCTGCTTGCTTCATGCCTTTCACTTGCATTGCCTCCTTCAGTCCCCCCACTATTATATAAAACCAGCTCCTCTCTCTCTCCACTGAGTTGTTCTGTATAGATATGTGTTCACCACTTCATTATATTTAAGTCCAGGACATGGTTAATTAAAGTGTAAAATAGCTTTTCTGTGGATTAACTTGTGCTTGTGCAAACTCAAGAGCTTCCATTTTTCTCCAGATCCCAGCTCAGCTGGTGATGGCTGGGCTGCACAGACTCTGCTTGGAAAAGTCTCTGCCCAATGCGGCAGCGCGATGCCAGAGGGAGGGATTCTGGGGAAGGGGCTGGCTGTTGGTTTCGTGCCATTGTTTACTTTCGTGAATTTCAGGCTTTTGTAGCTGGCCTCGGAGAGTGATGGAGCAGTCACAACACGCCCTGCTCGGTGCCAATTACCTTTCTGCTTGTGTGTAATTTGGGCAAATTGATGTTATTGCACCCTGCAGTTAAGCAGATGAAATATTCTTTTAGTCTGTGGTATTGTTCGTTTTATGGGAGGGGATTTGCATTTGTTCCTAGAGACTGTCCCATGGTTTTGTGTTATTCTCAAAGATGTCCTGGGCTGGGTGATTCCTGCTCCTCGGGTGCTCAGGGTGCAGAGGGGTCACTGGGGGCAGGACTGGTGCCGAGCTGCTCCCAGAGCTTTGCTGTGGATGTCTCCAGTGTTTTACTCTGATTGTTGTTTGTGACTGGAGTACTCCTGGGCCATGATCATTCTTGGCCTGGCTTCTGCAGCCTCATGGTTTCCATATGTGAGGCAGTTAATGCTGGAGTGTGTGTGAGGGTGTTACATTACACCACAGTGATCACGTTTGGGGCAGCTGTAGTGCAGACAGTTTGCTGATGGGACAGTAATAATTTCCTTGGTACAGTTCTGTGCATAATTACACCTCCAGGAATGTCTGATTCCTGATATAGGGTAGTTGCTCTGTGTTTTCAGCTGAATAGAGGCTAATTCTTGTGTTGAGAGGGTGTGCCTGTGGCTGGGCAGAGCTGGGCACAGTCACCCCAAGGCCCGTGTGTGCTGCTGCCCTGGGGGAGGTGGCAGCTCCATCCCTGCACACACTGCTCTGTTACAGCCCCCGGTGGTTGTGGGGTGACCATGGTGGGATGCAGGGCTCCCGTCCTCACAGCGTGACTGGGGAGCCATCACTTGCTGGCACCTCTCTGTGGGACCAGGGTGGTCCTGGTTTTCCCACCTTGCTCAGCTGTTGGAGGAGGATAGGCATGCGGGTTCAGAGGGATCCTCTGCCGTGGCCTGTGCTTCCTCACTGAATGGGAGCAATGAGAACAAACGTGGCAGGCAGGACAGCAGTTGGTCACTGCATTTGTAGGGACCAAGGAGGGCTGGTGGCCGAGGTACTGAATAGGGGCAATGAGAACAAACGTGGCCAAGCAGGCAGGACAGCAGTTGGTCACTGCATTTGTAGGGAGCAAGGAGGGCTGGTGGCTGAGGATGCACTGCAGAAGGAGAGGGCTTTTTTGTGCTCAGCTGTGTGTTGAGTGTGCGTGTGCCAGCTGGACATGGGTTTGTGATCATCTAAACCTTCTCTGAGGCGTGGCAGTGACCATGAACACCCACCTCCACTTGTGCACAGTGTGGTCTCTCCTGGCTTGACTGAAGGATTGATGTAAACTACCTCATTATCCCAGATATCCTGTTTATTTTCTTCAAGGATTAAGTCATTACGCTGTTCATATCTAATCCCTTGCTACCCTCGTGAAGACAGATGCCCAGACCTCCAGAGAAAGACTAAAATGGAAGAGAAATAGGGATAAAGAAGAGCAGAAGTGGTGGCAAGGGGTACTAACAACCAAGGTGTTGATACAGAAGTGCTGAAATATGGAGACGATAATAGATGAAAATTTGAAGCAGTGATCTCATGCTACGGAGATGAGCCTTGAATCTGAACGTGACACAGTGTTTGTCCCCACGGCACTGACAGGAAGAGGGAAGGGAGGAAGGTGCAAAACCCTGCGGGTGAGCTGCAGGGCGTATGTCAGCGTGCGTGGAAGAGAAGTAACCCCAGCAAAGCTGCGCTGGAAACGCATTTGAAGAGGAGGTCAGAGGGGTTGGGAGCGGGCGGGGTGCTGCTGTTGTGAGGTGCCAGCAGCGCTGGGTGAGGCTGTGATGTGCCAGCAGCGCCTCAGGTGCCTCAAACCAGAGACAGGAGCTGGCAAGGCACCTGCCGTGGCAGGGAGGGGGAAAAGTTACTGAGGCTGCTTTCGGGGAAGCTTGGCTGAAGGCTCTGGCTCTGGCTGTTGGGCATTAGAGCGAGGGCTGGGGTGGCTCGGGGTGGCTGTCAGTGGCTGCAGGGTGGGAGCTGAGCCCTGCCCACCCTGTGGGTGCTGCAGCCTGGCTCCAGCAATCGAGGAGCCCACGCGCCCTGTGGGGAGTGAGATTGGAAGGGGGAGCGTTGAACTGGGAATTATCTTCATGCACAGGGTGATTTATTGGCCGTGATGGCTCTGTTCCTTCCCTGGAGAGCTGTGTCTGCTCCTCTCACGGTGGGAAGGAGTTGTCCTGAAAATGCCTGGAAAGATAGCGGGGGCGTGTGGGGTGCGTGTGGGTCTGCTCTGCTGCCCACGCTGTTCCTGGGCGCCTGGGAGGGCTGGTGACGGGCTGACAGGGCCGTGTGAGCTCTGGGTCGGTGCCACTCTGCTTTTGGGAGTGGGAGTGCGTGATGGCTGCTGGCGGCTGCAGCTCCTGCAGCTCTGCAGCTCCTGCAGCTCTGCAGCGGCTGCTGCCTGCCCGAGCACGGAGCCCTGTCCCTCACCTCTGCTGCACACACGCAGCGCTGGCAGGCTCCTGCCCACGGTGCGGTCTCTCCTGTCGTTACCCAGCCTCTGTCCTTCTCTGCTGCTGCTGCTTTGCACCCTCCAGCTGTCCGGAGAGGGGAGAGCCGGCCCCAGCACTGGCAGGAGATGCTTGCTGCTTGGTACCAGAAAGAAAATATTTAAGAATACTTTCAGGAGGCAGGTTTTCTTATTGCCTTAGCCTTGCAGACAGGAGTGGTGGTGTTAAAAATAAACACCAATGGAGATATGGCTGCAGATTTACAACTGCCACATGACAGCTGCCTGCGGAATACAGAGCACAGCAGATCCTTGGATGCACAATTTAAAGTGCTTGTTTTCAGACGTACAGTTTTGGGGGTTTTTTTGGTCGATCTGGCCAGAAATCTAAATAAATGTCTCCCTCATTATGGTTACATGCCTGATTTGTGGCTTTAATGCAGCAAAACAAAACAGTTTTAATTATGCAGATGCAACTGCCTATGGTCCAGCACTGGCAATCTTGCAGAAAATTGTTCATTGTGTCGGTTGGCTGTTTTATTTTGTATTGCTTCCTGCAGTTTTGCCTTAACCCTGGCAAAACACAGGCCCCTGTGTGATCCCTCTGGCTGCTGCTGGCAGCAGACTGTGTGGTGTGACTGGCAGGTGACAGGATGCTTTGTGATCCTGGAGGTGGGGCTCTCCAAATGGTGCATCTGGCTGCATGCTGGCAAAGGATGATTCCTTGACTTCTGTGGCTCTTAGTTGCTGCTAAGCAATTAAAATTGATAATAAAACTAGAGTTTAGATGGTTTTAGCATCTAAAAACATTAAAAGGATTTGCAGACTTGGGCCAAAGAAAAGGAATGTATTCTTTCTCATTTTCATGAAGTTTAGGTTAATTTATCATTGCCCATTAGCTTCCTTTGACTTCTTCTGTTGCCGTAACTGCATCCCTTATTTTGTGTCTTTTTTCTTTTCCTACCTCTTGCCCTCTTTGCTCAGAAAATGTTTGGAAAATTCCCATGCCAAATAATTTTCTGGGATACTGGTTTGCTCAGGGCAGGGGCTTTGCTTCCCAGCCCGGAGAGGCATCAAGGCTTGAACTTGACAGCTCATTCAATGAAATGGTTCAGTGCAAGAGGGAAAGT